GGCCCGTCCCGGCCTGTTCCTGGCCCGTCGCGGCCCCTTTGCCGCCCGTCGCGGCCTGTTCACCGCCCGTCGCGGCCTCTGCCCAGCAGCCGCCCTGTCGCGGCCACTGCCCAGCACTTCGCCGCCCGTCGCGGCCTGTGCCCTGCAGCCGCCCCCTGTCGCGGCCACTGCCCTGCTGCCGCCCTAGTCGCGGCCCTGCCTTAGCCGCCCGTCGCGGCCTCTGCCCTGCAGGCGCCCCCTGTCGCGGTCCTGCCCTACTGCCGCCCCAGTCGTGGCCCTGCAGCCGCGCCTGTCGCGGCCTTGCTCTGCTGCCACCCCTGTCGCGGCCCTGCCCTGCGGCCGCCCACTGTCGCGGCCCTGCCTTCGCCGCCCGTAGCGGCCCTGCCCTGCAGCTGCCCCTGTTGCGGCCCTGCCCTTCACCCGCCCCCGGTAAGCACCTGCGCTGTCCTGCCGCGCCGCACCGCCTGCTGCCGCGCCGCGCTGCCAGGAACCGAGCCGCACCGCCCTGCCGAGCCGCGCCGCCCAGCCAAGCTGCGCCGCCTCTGCCGAGCCGCGCCGCCCAGCCGAGCCGCGCCGCACTGCCGAGCCGCGCTGCCCTTTTGCTTGCACTACCCTTGCTGCCATACTGCTGCTACTGCTGCTACTGCTTCTATGGCTAGCCCTACTGTTCTCACCTTTGATGCTGAGGGGCGTGCATTTGACTTTGACGTGTGGGTTGACGACCTGCAGCTCTTTCTTCAGTGTGACTCTAGGGACGGAGTATCCCTTTTCAATCACACGTCCGGTGTCTCTACTGCTCCTGCTGCCACTGCTAACAGTACGGTTCGCTCGCAGTGGACCACTCGTGACGCTGTTGCTCGTCTTGCTGTTCGTAGTCACCTGCCGCCTGCTGAGCGCGCGCATTTTGGCCAGTACAAGATTGCTAAGTCTTTGTACGACGATGTAGTAGCGCGCTACTCCTCCCCTGCCACTGCTGCCCTCAGCCGCCTCATGCTGCCGTACCTTTTCCCTGACCTTGCCGCCTTTGCCACAGTCGCTGACCTCATTGCTCACCTCCGCACTAGTGACGCCCGCTACCGCGCTGCCCTTCCCACTGAGTTCTGTGCCAAGAACCCCCCCCCCATGTACATCACCCTTTACTACCTAGTCACCCGCCTCCCTGACTCCCTTGCTTCAGTCAGGGACCACTTTCTCTCCCTTTGCCCCACCGAGCTCACTGTCGACCTGCTAGAGGAGCGCCTCGCTACAGCTGAGAAGAGTATCTTAGCTATAGGTGCTTCTCGCGGCAACCGTTGCACCCCTTTCTTTGAGGGGTGTTCCCCTGTCCCCCTTCTCCCCTCTGTTGCTTATGCTGCTGCTGTCGACCTCGTTGGCACTGAGGAGGTCGGAGCTGCGTCTGCCCCTAGTGGGAGGCGCCGCAACAGCAAGGGCAAGGGGAGCAAGGGTGGTGGAGGGGATGGCGGGGGCGGCGGCGGAGGCGGTGGAGGAGGCGGAGGGGGTGGCGGTGGAGGTGGGGGTGGTGCCGGGAGTGGGGGCTTCAGTGGCGGCGGTCGAGGTGGTGGAGGCAGCGGCGGAGGTGGTGGAGGCAGCGGCAGCGGTGGTGGAGGCAGCGGCAGCGGTGGTGGAGGTGGCGGCGGCGGTGGTGCTGGTCGAGGTGCAGCTGCGCAGCGTGGAGGCTTTGGTGGTAGCCAGCGCCAGCAGCAGCCGCGTTCCCATGAGAACCCGTCGGCCCAGCAGCTTCGTGAGTGGTACGCTGGGCGTGGGAGGTCTGGGGGTGCTGGTCCCTGCACTTACGTTCTTCGCACCGGCAGTCGTCGTGGGGAGACGTGCGGGCTGCCACACACTGCGCAGCGCTGCTTCGGTCGCTTGACTGACGCCTGGTGTGCCCAGTTTCCTGACGCTGTTGAGCTCCCTCGTTGGCATGATCTGCTTAGGCAGAATGTGGCTATCTTTGATCTTGATTTCGATGATATCCTTGCTGCCATGTATGCTTTGATTGATAGTGGTGAGGGTGACTGTTACCTGAGTGTCCCGCCCGACCCGGGCATTGAGGGTGCTGCTCTAGGTGCTAGTGCGTCTGCTGCTCCAGGTACTGGTGAGTCTGCTGCTCCAGGTGCTGGTGAGTCTGCTCTCTCTGGTACTGCACCTACTGAGGCCTTGCACACTTTCACACTTGAATCTGGTGCTTCGCGCTCTTTCTTTAGAGAGAGCACCACACTCACGCCGCTCAGTCGGCCTGTCGCAGTCTCCCTGGCTGACCCCACTGGGGGCTCAGTCCTTGCGCACTCTTCCACGGTTCTACCGTGTCCTGCGGCCCTGTCTGGCTTGCTGTCGGGACTCCACCTCCCCTCGTTCTCTACGAACCTGGTGAGTGGAGCTGACCTCCAGGACGCGTGGGTTGACCAGTTCACCCCTGGAGGTCAGTGTGTGACCCACTGCACTTGCTCTCGGACGGGCCGCCACCTGGCCACGTTCACCCGTCAGCCTGGGTCGAGTCTCTACACACTGACTACTGCACCTCCTCCGGTCTCTGCGTCTGGTCAGGTAGCCGCGTCTAGTCAGGTGTTTGCTGCCGCGTCCAGGTCTAGTCCTGCGTCTGCCCCCTGCTCGTGTCGTCCTCTGTCGCACAAGACTCTCCTTTGGCACCACCGCCTTGGTCACCCGTCCCTGCCTCGTCTTCGAGGTATGGCCTCCCGTACCCTTGTCTCGGGTCTACCCCGGTCCCTCCCTCCCCTTCCTCTGGGGCTTGCCCCTACATGTGTTCCTTGTGTCAAGGGCCGGCAGCGCGCCGCTCCTCACTCATCCACGTTTCCCCCGACAGAGGCTCCCCTGCAGAATCTTCACATGGACGTGTGGGGCCCAGCCCGCGTCTGTGGACAGGGTCACGAGCGTTACTCCCTGCTGGTCCTTGACGACTACTCGCGTTACACCACAGTCTTCCCCTTGCGCATCAAGGGTGAGGTCCCTAAGGTGTTGATCGACTGGATCCGCGGTGCTCGTCGCCAGTTCAGCGAGCGTTTCGGCTCGGACCTTCCTGTTCTGCGTCTGCACTCCGACAGAGGTGGTGAGTTTTCCTCCGACCTCCTGAGGGCCTTCTGTCGTGCGGAGGGCATCCGCCAGACGTTCATGCTTCTGGCCTCCCCACAGCAAAATGGGATTGCTGAGCGCCGCATTGGCATGGTCATGGACGTCGCTCATATGTCCAGGATCCATGCGGCTGCTCCCCATTTTCGGTGGCCTTTCGCGGTTCAGTACGCTGCGCATCAGATCAACCTTCAGCCTCGTGTCTCCTTGCCGGAGACCACACCTACTCTGTGGTGGACGGGGAAGGTTGGCGATGCGTCCACGTTCCGTGTCTGGGGATCTCGAGCTTTTGTCCGCGATACTTCAGCGGACAAGCTGTCCTCCCGTGCCGTTCCCTGCATCTTCCTTGGCTTCCCCCCTGACACAGCCGGGTGGCAGTTCTACCACCCCACCTCGCATCGTCACGTTTGACGAGTCGGTGTCTTACTAGCGTCTCTTTCCCTACCGCACTGCCTCTCTCCCCCCCCCGCCACTCTTCCTAGCAGCAGGTACTCCTCCGGTAGACCCCCTCCCCCCTCAGGGTCCTGCCCCCTCAGGTGTGTCTCAGGTAGACCCTGGCGAGCCGGTCGAGGTAGCTGTCGACTCAGGTGCTGATAAGGGTGCTGAGCGTGCGGGTGCGGGGACTGGGGGTGCGGAGCCTGGGGGTACTGAGCCTGAGCGTGTGGAGTCTGGGGGTGCTGAGCCTGCGGGTGCGGAGCCTGGGGGTGCTGAGCCTGGGGGTACTGCGTCTTGGGGTGCTGAGCCTGCGTGTGCTGAGTCTGGAGGTTCTCCGGGTGTCCTGTTGCGGCGGGAGCCACTCTCTCTGCAGCGGCTTCGTGAGTGGTACGCTCGACGCTGTCGCCGTGCTACTAGTGCTGCTGGTGCTGGAGCTGCTGGAGGTGCTGCTGGTGCTGGAGCTGCTGGAGGTGCTGCTGGTGCTGGAGCTGCTGGAGGTGCTACTGGTGCTGGAGCTGCTGGAGCCGCTGGTCCTGGAGGTGCTCGTACTGGAGGTACTGGAGCTGCTGGGGCTGGTGGTGCTGCAGGCGTTGGTGCTGCAGGTACTCGTGCTGCTGGTGCTGGAGCTACTGGAGGTGGTGCTGGTGCTGGAGCTGCTGGAGGTGCTGCTGGTGCTGGAGCTGCTGGATCTGCTGGTCCTGGAGGTGCTCGTACTGGAGGTACTGGAGCTGCAGGTGCTGGTGGTCTTGCAGGCGGTGGCGCTACAGGTACTGGAGCTGGTGGTGCTGCGGGAGCTGTTACTCGAGACCCTGGAGCTGAGGGTACTGGTGCTGTCTCTGCTGTTTCTGGAGGCGCTGCGCGGCCGCAGCCGTACTACGTTCCGCTCCTTCAGCAGGTTCTTGGTCTCCCGCCTTCTCCTAGTCCTACTCCTCCTTTACTGAGTCCACCGCCGGTCCACTCACAGTCGCAGTTACAGCCAGCCTCTCCACTGCCTGGTCCATCTCCTTACTCTGGACCGACTAGAGGTCTTACGGAGCGTCGTGAGCCTGAGTCGCGTCCTGTATCACCTGAGTCTCGTTCTGAGTTGCCTGTCCTCACTGTTCGCGCTGGTCGTCGTGTTTCGCGTCCGCGTCCTCCTCCTGTCCCTGGCACTCACTCTATGACTCTATGTCCTTCCACTGCTCCACAGCGTGTCCCTCTGCCGTCTCCTCCTGCGTCCTCTCTTCCTGACGGTCCGGACCCAGAGTCTGACTCCCTTCGTGCTGCTAGTCCTACTGTCACGCGCTTTCTGGCCACTACTGTCACTGACCCTTTGTTTGAGTCCACTGCTGCGTCTGCTCTCGTTGCTAAGCTTGTTAACTTTGCTGCAGCCTATCGCCTAGACTTCGCCACTAGTCTTGTGCTGAGTCTGCGTCTGTGTCTGTCTGTCCTCCGTCCGTTGGGGGTGAGTGTGCTCTTGGCACGGACGTTCTTGAGGACAGACAGGAGGAGTTTGAGTGCTTTGCCACTGCTGTACCTCCTCTCGTATCCATGCTGCTTGCCCCTGAGGGACACCCGGATGCACCAGACATCCCGACCCCGCGCTCTTACGCAGAGGCGATAGAGGGTCCCTACTCCTCTCAGTGGCAGGCAGCCATGGACGCCGAGATGGCTTGCTGGAAGTCCACAGGCACCTACGTCGACGAGGTTCCCCCGCCTGGGGCGAACATCGTCAGTGGCATGTGGATCTTCAGGGTGAAGCGGCCGCCGGGTTCTCCGCCTGTCTTCAAGGCGCGTTACGTTGCACGTGGCTTCAGCCAGCGACAGGGAGTTGACTTCTTCCAGACCTTCTCCCCTACCCCGAAGATTACCACTCTTCGGATACTGCTGCACATCGCAGCTCAGCGTGACTACGAGCTCCATTCGCTTGACTTCAGCACAGCCTGCACGAGGAGATCTGGCTGCGCTGCCCACCTGGCTTCACTGGGTCGTTTCCTGCTGGTACCCAGTGGAGCCTCTGGCGGCCAGTCTACGGTCTCCGCCAAACACCCCATGAGTGGCACGACACACTGAGGACGACTCTTGCTACACTTGGTTTTGCTCCTTCCACTGCTGACCCTTCTCTGTTTTTACGCACCAACACCACTCTGCCGCTGTTCTACGTTCTCGTGTACGTAGACGACCTCGTCTTTGCTACTGCTGACACTGAGGCACTCGCCCACATGAAGTCCAAGCTACAGAAGAGACACACGTGCACAGACGTGGGCGAGCTGACAAGCTATCTTGGCTTGCGGATCAGCCGGGACAGAGCACAGCGCACCATTACCTTGACTCAGTCCCACATGGTGCAGCAGGTCCTTCAGAGCTTCGGCTTCACGTACTCCTCGCCACAGTCCACTCCTCTGCCTACCGGTCACTCGCTCTCAGCTCCACCTTCGGACGAGCCCGTAGAGCCGAGTGGCCCGTATCCAGAGCTTGTGGGTTGCCTCATGTACCTGATGACTTGCACACGACCTGACCTCGCATACCCTCTCAGCCTTCTAGCTCGCTACGTGGCTCCCGGCAGGCACCGAGAGGTGCACTGGGATGTTGCGAAGAGGGTGTTGCGCTACTTGTGCAGTACATGGGGCATGGGGCTCGTGCCTGAAGGACGGGCTTGAGTTGTCCTCACATGTCACGCTGACGCCTCCTGGGTTGACGACTTGGCTTGGCAGCGGTCGTCACAGGGTTACACATTCAGTCTTGGCTCCGGTTCTGTCTCTTGGCGGTCTATCCGCTGTTCTTCTGTTCTCATCTTCAGTTGTTAGGCTGAGATCTACGCTGGGGCCATGGCTCCACAGGAGCTACGCTGGCTCACTTACCTGCTGACCGACTTGGGAGAGGCGCCTCGTACTCCTCCAGTTCTGTACGTCGACAACAAGGTCATGCTTGCCTTATGTCAGGAGCACAGACTGGAGCACTGAACGAAGCACATCGCTCTGCGATACTTCCTTGCTCGAGAGTTGCAGCAGCGTGGCCAGCTTCGTCTCGCTTACGTGGCCTCACAGGCCAACACTGCTGATGTTTTCACCAAGGCACTTCAGCCTTGTGATCATCAGCGTTTCTGTACTGTGTTAGGTCTTATACCTACTGTGCCTCATTTGCTTACTTCTTAACTCTGCTTAATCTGTACTCTTTATACATGTACCTGCATGCTTACACTTGCTAGGTTGTGTTCAGTGTATTGTTTGCTCTCCTTTATATAACTCTGCATGTGGACTGGCCTTGTGGCCATTTGCTTGTGCTCAGACTGCGTGGTAACTTTGTGATCCACCCTGAGCTTGCTTTGCCTTTCTTGACTGGTCTTGTGACCTCTTGTTCTCCCCCACTTTGCCTATGGGGGTGTGTCAAACTTATATGCTCTAGTGTGTTTAGGCTGTAATGGGGTAGTTCTTATAGGGTACAACACTTTTAGGTTTCCACTTGTACCCACCTGCTTTCTAGTTCAGTCACTCATTCGTTCCATAGTCTAGCACATTGTACGCGCTATGAACAGTGCAGCAGAAAGGACGAGCTCGCAAAGGAACCAAAGATGGAAGCTTTGCAGTTCGGTTTAATTGATTGCGCAGATTCAGTTCTATCCAACTCGAAATTGTACTGTTTTCTTTGGTTGACTATAGTGTAGCAGGGCAGGCACTATAGGGGTACAATTTAGGTGAAGGTTGGATGTTGTTTGTCTGTATCTGCATGCTACAGGGCCAGGGGAAACCATCGGAACCAGCATTTGGCTGGTTGGGCAAAGACAAAACAGGTTCTGTTTTTAGGACCTGAACCTGGTTGTTGTTTTCCCAGGTTGGAAAAACAGAACCAGAGGTCGTTTACCAGCCTACCACCTGCTGTTTTGTCCAGCTAGGTTGGTTCTGTTGCTTGGAATTATTTGGGATCATCCCTGTTTGTTCCCAGGTTGATTCCCAAGGTCCTTGCTAGCTAGAACTATATATTCCTTCTCTGTTTGTACCTGAATATAGTCAATTTGATTCGAGCGAGTTCCTTCCTTGCTGGAATTTCATTTCTACGCTGTACGACGGCGGAATGCTACCGCGTCAGCGCTAGTACGCTAGTACTACGACGCTAGACTAACGCTGTCTAAGCAATAACTCTGCAATGGCAGAACTTTTCGCGAGGCAACTTGGCTCTTTTGAAAGCTCTTAGAGTGAGCTTTGATATAGCAAGATCTCAGCTTAATCCGATCGACGGTCTCCACGGCACGCTGCGCGACGTTCAAGGTACTCTTGCTGTTTTATTAAGGGCCTAATAATCTCAGGCTATGAAGACGTTATCCAACTTAAAACCTCTCCTCGGGGTCACCTCCAAGGGTCCCTGGGTGCTTGGTACAAGACCAGCCCCTATCCTCGGGTCCGAGTTTGTAGAGAGAGGGATCAAGAGGGACTTAGTCAAAACAGCAAGAGTACCTTGAACGTCGCGCAACGTGCCGTGCAGACCGTCGATCAGATTATGCTGAGAACTCGCTATTTGAAAGCTCACTCTAAGAGCTTTCAAAAGAGCCAAGTTGCCTCGCGAAAAGTTATGCCATTGCAGAGTTACGAAATGGACAGCGTTGGCGTAGCGTCGTAGTGCTAGCGTACTAGCGTTGACTCGGTAGCATTCCGCCGTCGCACCGCGTAGAAACGAAATTCCAGCAAGGAAGGAATTCGCTTGAATCAAATTGAATATGTTCAGGTACAAACAGAGAAGGAATATATAGTTATAGCTAGTAAGGACCTTGGGAATCAACCTGGGAACAACCAGGGATGATACCAAATAATTCCAAGCAACAAAATCAAACTGGCTGGACAAAACAGCAGGTGGTAGGTTGGTAAACAACCTCTGGTTCTATTTTTCCAACCTGGGAAAACAACAACCAGGTTCCGGTCCTAAAAACAGAACCTGTTTTGTCTTTGCCCAACCAGCCAAATGCTGGTTCCGCTGGTTTCCCCTGGCCCTGTAGCATGCAGATACAGACAAACAACATCCAACCTTCACCTAAATTGTACCCCTATAGTGCCTGCCCTACTACACTATAGTCAACCAAACAAAACAGTACAATTTCGAGTTGGATAGAACTGAATCTGCGCAATCAATTAAGCCGAACTGCAAAGCTTCTATCTTGGGTTCCTTTGCGAGCTCGTCCTTTCTGCTTGCACTGTTCATAGCGCGTACAATGTTTTGCCGAAGCGCACATTGCGCGAGTACCTGCAAATGCATCAAGCAAAAATTGCGAAAGCAAACAAACACACGATTATTCCATTCACACCCAAATGCATTCGCACACGCATACTCGTACAAACAGACGGCAGGATGTTGTGCAATGTGAATTTGCATCCAACACACCCCTCCTCAGCCTGCCGGCTGCATCCCCAACATTCCATGCTAGTTCCTGCTTATTCCACTCATGCGCACACAACGCCAATGAGGCTCATCCGCAAGTCCGTTGGCTGCTGGTGAGTCTTGATATAGATTGGATTCACCGTCCCCCTCTTCACCTCCTTACGCAGCCAGTGCCACTCGATACGCATGTGCTTGTTCAGCCCATGAAGCACAGCGTTCCTGGCCATCCCAAGAGCCCCCTTGCTATCACAAAACAGCAGTGTAGCAACCTTCTGCTCCTGGCCAATCTCCTCTAACAGCCTCCTCAACCAAATCACCTCCTTCACCCCATGGAACATCGCCATGTACTCTGATTCTACAGAGGAGAGTGCCGTCTCCATCTGCTTCTTGGACCTCCAACTAACAGGTCCTCCTCCAACTACGCAGATGTATCCTCCCACAGATGAGGAATCCTCCTTCTCAGAAGCCCACGTAGCATCGGTAAAGCAAGTGAGAAACAGCTTGCCTTCTCCAAGCCGCTCCCCCTTCTCTTTCAGCACCTCAACCCCTTTCTGCTTCACCTAAGCAGATGCGGAGTATTGAACTCCAATGCTTGGGTGAGAGTTCAGGTACTTCACCACACGCTCAGCTGCATCTACCTGCTCCTCTGATGGATTCTGCACCACCCTAGACAGCTGGCCAACCGAGAAAGAGATATCGTGCCTTGTGTGAACTGTTGCATACAAGAGGCTGCCCACCAAGGACTGAAATTGCTGCTGCTCCTCGGCTTCAACCCCTTCATCCTCTGCTGCCTTCTCAAGCTTGAATTCTGCTGGCAGGGGAGTTGCAACCTTGCGCTCATTCTCAATCCCATACTTCTCCCCCAGCTCCTTGATGAGCTTCTCCTGGTGCAGCTTCAACCACCTGTGATCCAGATCCCTCTCCACGTGCATTCCGAGGTAGTACTTTACCTCCCCAAGAGTCTTGCACTTCAAGTTCTTCATCAGCTGCTGCTGCACTTTCTGGATCTCCTTCATGCTGCTGCTGAAGAGAAGAATGTCGTCCACGTAGACCAGAAACAACACCAGCTTCACCCCCTCCCCCTTGAGAAAGAGGCTCTCATCACAGCTGCTGGTCCCGAATCCCATCTCCTCTAAAAGAGCTGCCAACTTCTGGTACTAGCAGCGTGGCACCTGCTTCAAGCCGTAGATTGAATTTTTCAGCTTGCACACCCTGCCCGTACCATCCTCATTCCCAGGCGGCTGCATCATGTAGACATCCTCCACTAAAATCCCATTAAGGAATGCCATTGATATATCCATCTGAATGATGAATTTCCCACTAATGGCTGCATCTGCCAACAAGACACGGAGGGTAGGGGGTTTGGCAGTGGGAGCAAAGATCTCATTGAAGTCCTGCTTCTCCTTCTGCATAAACCCTTTAGCCACCAGCCTACTCTTGTAGATGGTGACCTGTCCCTTGTCATCGGTCTTAGGCAGGTTCATCCTCCTCATCCGGGTCACAGCCAGCCCCAAATGCACACACCAGATTGCACTTGCCCCCA